TATATGTTCTCATTCATTCAGCTATTTCTAAGCTGAGCTAGTCACACGTATAGTCTGTTTTTCATTAAGTATTAATTCCTTCTAACGTAGGTTCCAAACGATAGGTTCTTGCAAATCGCAGATTTGCGTTCAGGTGATGTACAGCGTGTTAAGGACAAGCACGTGGTGATTATTCTTAGCCAACGTGACCACGTATCCTTCAGAGGTGATCTTCAGTCCGCAGCAGCGGCTCACCTTGCAGTACGGACATTCGAATTCGCTAATCGCCTGTCCATCCCGATTGAAAACCACAATGTGGAACCTAATGTACGAACATGAATTAGAAGTTAACGACGAAGTTAGTAACGGTTTGGAAAAATCGATGAACTCGCTTGCCAAAAATATCGCTTAAACATTGCACAACAGATTCAACTGGTTTTTAAATGGAATTGCCTTTGCTTGCTTGCTTGCTTGCTTGCTTATTAAAGAAACCGAGCCAAATGATTTAATGCGACTACGATCAAATATTAATAGGCCTTCAATGGAAGCCTACAGTATATTAGAAATTTAACCATCGAAAGCGAAACGAACAAGCATACCTGTTTCCGTGCGAATCGCCGACAAGAATGTCACCATGGTCGGATATGTCGATTCCATTAGGGAAATTTGTCAAGCCTTCACCCCCAATTCGCCGCAAAAAGCTGCCGCACTCATTGTACACAACGACACAGTGTCCCTTGAAGTCACAGATGTAGAACTCTGTGCCCCAAACGGCGATGTCAGAGGGTTCCCGCATATGCTCGCTACAATCGAACCAGAGCAGCAGATCACCGGTCTCGGCAATTACAAACACCGTCGGAGAGACGGAGTCCACAGCCACAATGCGTCCGTCACTGGTCAGCGCTAACCCGGCGACAATATCAATATATCTGCGAGTGTACGAATAACAAAACCGTTGAGTTCACCAATACTGACGCATCTCACTTAACATTATTTTTGTGCTACACATCTCTCGCTAGAACACGAAATGAAAGACACTGGTCACGTAAGCGGATTTTTAATTTTTTAGCACCAGTTGTTATGTATGCGTGATTTTTAATTTTTTAGCATCACTTGTTATGTATGCGTGTATGAAAAGCCGCTATCCATTTCCGACGACAGCAGCCATTGAACCAAGCAACTTTTAGTATGCCTAGATTTGGAAAGTCAACGGCCTATTCGAATACCGAAAACTATGGAAGCTAGGCTTTAAAGTAAATTAAAATTAACCAATAGGTTCATTAGGGGAGTGTTTTATTTATGGGAAAAACTATTAACATAATGCAGACTTTCATTGAAGCGTAGACAATCTTGCGTCAAGGGCGAATAGAAACATAGTACAAAAGGTTAGACTGGTGCATGAAGGAATGCCCGTACCGTATTGCGATCTTTTTGATAAATTCTCCATTTTTGGTGAACAGCTGCATGCGGCTTCGTTCGTTTCCGCGATCGCAGATGACGTATGTTCCAGTGGACTTCATGACAGCCACCTTTCGAGGATACCAGAGCTGACCTTCTTCCTTGCCCTGAGTGCCGAACTCACTCTTTAATTCACCTGCTTTATCGAAAATTTGCATCCGGTGGTTGTTCGTGTCTGCCACAACAATCTCCTCGTTGGGTCCCAGACAAAAACCGTGTGGGGACGAGAATTGCGTCGGCCCTGATCCAAGTTGGCCGAACTTAATGCGAATATGCATAGGAGTCACGCGTGTTCCACGACCGGCGCTGCTTCCTCCGCTAGAGCTGTTTCCTGTACTGCTTACACTATTTGAATACAAACAAAGAGACTTTCGCCTTACAAAGTGACTCCGACTGATAAACGTTTGAACAATTTTCAGTAGGATTTTATTGACACGTGACATGTTCTCTACTAAAGTACGGCTACGACACATTAAAAGGGTCTTCGTCGCCTGTTGCAAAGTGGACCTTATTGTTGCGACCACATTTAGTTTACACAAACGGAGTATTTTCCAGCCCCAGTTGTGGCCAATGGTCGCATAATAAGTGATGAGTGGATCGAAAATTTGAATAGATTGATTTGTGTAATAAGCAATATTATATGCTACATAGAAAATTCGAGGCGCCACTCACTTTATAGCAGGCCCAGGCGTTGACGAAGAGAGAGTCACACTAGCGACACTTGAGGTTGGGCTTCGTTGTCCTGGTGCGCAACTACTGGCATCAAGACCCGCTGAGAGGGGACCTGCAGCAATTGCCAAGGGAGCAACAGGTCCGGACCCACCACGAAGAGGGGCTCCATGTCCATTTAGAGGCACGGGGCTCCCAGCGTACGAAGCCGGTCCCATCGGGCCCATCTTGGCTAATGCTGACAGGTTGTTCATGAGATGGTTCTCTTCCTCAGTGGGACCAGAGGATACCGCCGAAGGTGGACCGGTGGGCGGTCCGATTCGGCTAGATTCCCCACCTACAACCATACCTCGAGGCCCCGTAGCTACATCGCGCACGAGTAATGGAAGCACGTCGGGGGTCGGAAGAACATCAACCTGTTCCACTCCCGCCAGCGTTGCAAGCCCGTACTGTGCAAGTGCTGAACGAAGTTCATTTATCTCTGCTGGAGCCACAATAGGATCAAGAGCAGGTAAAGACGGTGGACCACCTGCTGATAGTGGTCCACCAGGCGGCAAAATTGGATGGACTACTCCGCTGGCTGCGTGTTCGAGAGAGCCGAAGTGTGGACCCGGAGGTACCATGCTTGAAGCCGATGAGTTCACTGCGTCCACAATATCCGATGGTAAAAGACCGGCCGCACTCGTATTGCTGATATCAGGCGCGAATGGTGAACTCAACAAACTGCCAGCTGTTCCACTGCCAACGCTTGATACGCTATTGTGACTTGAATCCAGGCCTCCAATGGTATTATCGCTTGAAGGTGGTTGTACGGTTTGCAGAAGGTTATTTTCCTGCTGCTGCTGCTGGTGCTGGTGCTGCTGCTGCCGAGATCCGCTTGTTGGTACAACGTGCCCGAAGAGCGTGCGCACTGCCTGCGCAAACTTTGCTTCATCGGTGACGAATCGCAGCTCCCCTTGATCCTTGCTTTGGGGACAACTGCAAGTAAGCTTCCGCACTCGCGAAGTTACAAGTGTTTTAAGTGCCAAAAATTCGCTGGCATCTCCGTATTTCACCAGTTTTTCGGCGAAAGCGAGCGCATGTTCAAGATGTACCCTTGATTCCTGACACTGCTGTATATCGTCCATAACCCGCATCTCCTGCGAGGAGTGTACCTTTTCAAGTTCCTCAAGAGCCACGTCCTTCGCGCGTTCTAAAAGGTTCTTATACGTAATGAAAGTTTCCTCTATTGATGAACGCACGGAATCACGCGTCAATTGAAGCTCCGACAGCGATGTGGTTAACGCATCGTTTGCCTGCGACAAAAAATTGAAATGTAATCATATTAGAGTTTCTCCAAGATCAACTTTTGAGATTTATTACGACTGCAGTTGTCCTCAGATGTAGATAAGTTCTGCCATAAATATTTCAAAACTATCTGCAAGCTTCTTGTAGGAATCCAAGTTACCTCTCGAGCTATCCAATGCGGCGGGAGGTGTTAAGGAAACCAGTTTATATGCCCAAAAGCGAAAAGGACATCCGACCGTTCTAGAATACCCTTACTCATAATGGGCTGCCTACCAAAAAAGCAGCTGTTCTGCTTTTTACAATAAACATGAATGTGTTTGGTTAATTATTAAAAATATCAAAGTAAAAACAAAAAACAGTTGGAGAGAACAACTTTATGTTGAACTAATTTTCAGTACCTGCTTACCATATAATGAACGCAACGAAAAAATGTGTGCAATTAGTTGAATTCGTAAAAACATCTACCTACATACTGTGTCAGGAACTCACGTCATCAAAGGCGTTGAATTTCTGACGTGCATCGTTGAGCAAACTCTGAAGCTCAGTCCTTTCACGAGAATCGAAGTGCAAAGCTTTTTTACAGCCGTGGCCCTGATGTCCTGCCACCAAACAGTCATTGCACATAACCTAAAAGTAAAAGGAGAGAAACAAAATTCATTGCTGCATTCAATACGTCATTGTCCTTGAATATCAGCCATCCAGTAACGACTACCCGACTCCACCTAGGGAAAACAATGCATCTCCTTTGATTTGAATTTATTAAGTGTATCTTCCTATTTTAGGCCAACATTGTTGCAAAAATGTCGACAAGTGCAAAAAGAGCTCGTTATTCCTAGATGATAAAGCCCTACTAGCCATCCATTGAAGCTAGCACGCCATGGAATCTAGGTAGAACGGAAGAAGCAAAAGACATTCTAAAGAGAAGATTCTAGCTAGCTGCCCAGAATCATGAATTGCTGAAAACACGATCTGCAAGAAAATACGAAAAGCGCGATACGCACTGTTCCACAGACTGGATCGTAAAGGACTGCGACTTTGCGAGGGTGTCTAAGACAGCTCACGGCGCGGTGGATCTGGGCTCGCTCCTGATCAAACGTTTCAAATGATACTACTTTGTGGTTCTCGAAGCATAACATCGATGAGTGCGCCTTTCGGCAGTTGGAGCACAAGAAATTTGAACAATCCTGGCAGCGAGCGATTGCACTGTCCTGTGGAAATGACAACCGATAAAAGTACAACAGGGTTTAATTACTGCATATCCTAACATTGGTACGTTTTTTTGCTTTCTTTCTCTGGAGAGATTACAGAGTGGTCGCGGAACTCGAAATGTGATACCTAAACACACAACGTCTGTGTTTCCTACTAGCAAGTCATTCAATCTCTATAAGAATTGATTCCATAACTGGCGCTGAGTCAGCAGGGAGGGAAGAAAATCGAAAAAAATATTGGTGTTTTAGTGCATGAAAGTATGTTGAATGCCAGTAATACCCCCAAAACTTCTCTTGAAGGTGTTAAAACATTCAAATTTATATACCCAAACTATTAGGAGAGTATTCTCTTAGAAGGAGGTACTCTAGGGAAATCTGGGAAGTCTTTATAATCATAATCGTTCTATAGAAAGGTTGAAATGTTCTCGACAGGAAAACGGTAACAGCGTAGGAACACCTGTTAGCATCTATCCGTTGCTGAGAACGTTTTTTTTCCTAGTTATAGAGACTGGCTGGCCCTCTTGACAGATCAGCCAGTATGGAGACTAGGCAGAGTTAGGCTATGACCAATGAAGTGTTACAACAAGACTTAAAGTTCAATAGTGCGTCAGGGTTGTGTTCAGGTGTTACAGGTGATCTATGAGGTAGCTTTAACAAATCACCGATATGCCAGAAATTTACTATCTCCACGTATATGTCGTACAAGGGGCAGCAGACCGCATCGTATGTTGTCCCGTGGATACTTACACCTACATTTTCATCCCGGTTCTGCAGAATACCAAAAACTGACTGCCGAACTGAAAAACTACAATTGTCGTGTTTGTTTTAAAGCGAAGTGATTTCAGCGATCAATTCACTGGTGTCAAACACTTTTGTTATTTCCTTTCATAGGAATGCGAGTTAGTACTAAACAAAGCAAAAAACGCACTTGCTGCTGAAAGGAATTATTAAAACATAACTTAAACTGTATAGTACCTCACTCTTGCAACTGGTGCAAACGGCTGTCCTCTTGTAAATGGCTTCAGTATCGAGACGATTAATGAGGACGTAGTCGAGCGGAAGCGTCTGAACGCCATGAGCACATTCCGTTTCCACCTGGCACTTCGGGCAGCGTACGACAAAACCTCCACCGACTGGTGCCTTCGTCGACATCTGGCCAAAGTTTGACACCGCTGCCGGTCTCTTCTTCGAACGAAGCTTGGCCAAACATGCTTCGCAGAATACATGCAAACAGTTGAGCACACGCGGTGGCTGACTATATGCTTCACGGCAGACCCCACAAACACCGTCACCTCCGGTGCCGCCTCCACCCGATCCGACCCCATCATCATCGTCGCCTTCCAGACTACCGCCTAATAAATCGTCATTATCTTCTTCATCATCATCCTCGTCGTGATGACTACCGATAAGTTCATCTTCATCGTGATCGTCCATTAGGAAGCTTCCAACATTTGCAGTAGGCGCAATATGACTTTGATAGGAAGTTTGCGAAGTCGAACCAATGCTTCGAGCGGCACTGATTTCCGTTGTGGTAACCGCGATAGCAACACAGCCGACTTCACCTTCGTTAAGATCTCCGACATCGTCGGCGCGTTCAAGGTTACCGAGTACGTTGTCATGGTTACTGCCAAGATGGTCGTGATGTTGCGGTCTCGGTGAATGATGTCCATCACGCCTACCGCCATTGCTACCGAGCGCTTTGTTACTAGTAGTCAGAGTATCGGCGACCGGTGCGATATCGTTAACGCTTTTAACTTGGGTTGTTGAATTTCGCATTAGTCGCATTAGCAGCTTCTCGTCGACATCGACGCCTCCGACTTCCGTACAACTATTAAGGTTCTCAAGAAGGCCGCTGAGAGTAGTTGCAGCAATGGATGTTGAATCTAAAGCGGCGGTTGCAACGGGACTCTGCCCGTTGTCGCGTTCATTTCGCATTTGCTGCAGTAGTTGTTTATCGTCACCTTCTCTGTGCAAGTGTTGTTGACGAAGCTGCTGCTGCGACGCCTGTTGCAGCTTGCTTTCGATGCTTTGAGCAGACTCCGCAGCGACTGACTTTCGGAGCATTTGTAAACGCTTCATTCTTTCTCGTTCCTGTTGTTCCTGCTGCAGCTTCTTGTAGACCATCATTATCAGATCCTTTTGATTCTCCGAAGCGTTCAAAACAGCAGCCAGGGCATCTTGATTTTCCTGGTCAAGGTTGTTGTGTTCCGGTACTTTCTCAATGTTGTTACCAAAGCTGTCAAGACCAATGGCGCTATTATCGTCAACGGAGCTTACACCGCTGCCAGTCACGTTATCGATTTCACTATGGCTTTCGTCACCGCCATCAGAACTTAAGGGATGAAGCTGAGATTGCGACTGTTGTTGTTGTTGTTCGTGGCTGGGGCCGTATCCGAACGGCTCTAATGGGTCCGAATTGATCAATTGCATGAGATGTTTTTCTCGGATACGGCCGCTTCCGGCAATGCACGTTGCGCCAGAGTTTGAGGTGTTGATGGTAGTCGCCGCTATGGCGCAACAGCCATCACCTTCAACTTTATTATCATTAAATCTTCCGCAAGTACCGGAGACAGAGGTGTCCGATGCTGTTGATGGCGACGATGACGTCGATGGTGGTGAATGGTGTCGAAGGCTACTCTGACTACCGGGATTGCTGGTTATGGGCGTCGGGTCCATGCTGCCGATGTTGGAGGAGGTGCTCACAGTTGTAGCGGCAGTCGACGGAACAGTAGCTGCGCTTCCAGCGATAGTGGACACGTTTGAAGCGGCTACAGCTGCTGCAGCAGCCGCTGCTGCGAACATCTCCAGGGCGGGCGACAGATGAGGTTGTTCCTGGTCCCCAGGACCACTACCGTCTCCGCCGCCTCCGCTGCTGCTACTACTGCCGCCGCCGGCCACGCTGATGCCAGGACCGCCCCCGAGGCCACCAGATGACACGAGACAGTCCGTCATGGGCGCCGCCAGATTGGCGGCAAGCTAATCCACAGACTTCGTCTCGAAGTACTCTTCGCACTGCGGTAGGAATAAGCTTGTATTGTTGCTTTGTAGTCAGGCTACAGTTCCTGCAGTCTGCTATGTACACCTTTGTTCTGGTGTAGTTTGATCTCTTTATTAATGTAGCCTTTCGGCTTTGTTACTGCGTTCACAAATGATGACAGTTACACCAATCAAGGATAGTGAATGTGTCAATTTTTTTCGGAAGCCGTTCGAAGACAGTGGTAGTGATCAACACCTGCTTAATGGAGCCAGCTACTGAGTCCACCGAGATCTGTAATAAATCAAAGGAGCGAACCAACGTGAAAAAACAAAAATGTTAGTAGGTAAAAGATTCCAATGCATTCGCGCATCTATTCGCACGCTTTGGTGTAGTACTGAAATAGGTGCCTCATGCTCTGTATAGATTAGCCATCTTCGGAGATGAAACTATGCGGTTGGCAATTATTATAAACTACCTTATTTCTCCTTAGCGTTTACTTTTACACTATTCTGCTTAAAACAACCCGGAATACATTTGACCCCAAAATACGAAATATCTTTTCAGCTCGTTGTGAGAATGGTTACTTGCAGTCATACGAGCGGCGACTTCCGATACTTTATAGCACTGGAAATGAGGAGAGTCCGCCACAACGCCAGCCAAACACAGATTGACTACCTATGGTTGAAATAGGGTTGTGTGTGAATAGGGTCGTGTGTGGCGAAGGAAGCTGAACATTGCATTCCAGACATTCTCGGCATTACAGAAAGTGAAGAACGCTTTTACGTAAACAGATGTCAGGAAACTGTTGGATAACGCTAAGGAGTGCCGATATCTCGCATTGGTTGATAAGGCTCTACTATTTAGCACAATCGGCAATGCAGGAATAACAAGAAAAGTAAAATATTCCAAAGATTTGAATTCCTTTTAAAAAATACTTTTCCAATTCGGTTTTACGTCAAACAGTACTGTTTATTTAGATGTTATTTTATATTTTAGATAATTTAGATATACCTAAATAGACAGCACTGTCTAGGCTGTTGTTGAATACAGATCTGAATTCAATCTACCCCCTTCACTTCTTCTACACCGTTTAGTTTCAACAACAGATAACTTGAAAAACTATTATTCTAATCTGCCGAAAGGTATGCTTCGTTAGTAGTCCACTTGGCACTGATGATGGATGATAAACTCACACTGGCCAATTCCATCTGCCCCGTGGTACTCGTCTCACAGAGACAACCAATACATTATCGCTAATCGCTAGTGCTAACATTAGCCATCAGTATGGGTGTCACGTTTTGTCATGGTGCTTAAAGAAAACAGTGCATAATCGTTCCTCCACATATATATACGGTAGTGGGCCTAAATTTGAATTAAGTTAATTGTTACAGAGAGTATCCGTTGATCCGTTATCCATGACATTAAAAAACATTTTTTTGAAACAACACCACTCGTTATGCTCGCGAGGGGAAAGGCTGGTGCTTGAATTTGAAAATTAAGCGCTTTTTTATGCCGCATGGATACAGAGTAAAATTAAGAGCTTTTTGCTTAGCTTAAAACTAGACAGGGCTACGAGCTTTGCCCCGCGCCTGTCCTATCCAATTAATTTAACCAATTTAATATACGCCTATAAGGTATAATATGTAAGCGAACAGTTGTTTTGTTCCGAATACCCTGACACCTAATCCATTACGCTTGTGCACCTAATTTTGTATGTTTTTTCGCCGCCACGAGGCTCCGTCAATTCTAAATTTGTCTAGCTCGTGAAATGTTGGCTCTTGATGATTCTGTACCGCGGCTTTCTACTCTTGACTAATTCACTTTTCTAACGTGGCTTTCTACTTTTGACTAATTCACTTTTTCTAACGTGGCTTTCTACTCTTGACTAATTCACTTTTTTTCCGAGACGCACGTGGACAGGGTTGGTTATTGGTAGATTTTTAAAGGATGTACGCGAATCGAGTAGCCTTCTTCCAATAGACTTTGCTAATCTATTGATTTTGTTCTCAAAATGGATATAGATATCTAATGAAATATTTGCTGACTCTGTTGTCGGAAAGTTTTCCTTTTTTTATAATAGATAATTGCGCATTAACCTAAATGTATATTTAATATTTTTTCAATTATATACATAATTTTTCAGAAATGATTAACAACAAATTACTTTTAAGTATTATACCTACACATCAGTACACACTACAATTTTTTTAACAACAGAAATATTTGCCAGAAATGTGCTCGAAAACCCACTGGAAAACAGCTCAACCCATTCTTAAGTTGCTAAGAGCAAGGAAAGTAATACGATATTAGATTCATAATAATGGCTGTAAGGTTACAATAGTAGAGCGCCCAGGCTAGCATACCACTCGCAGGCTTCACCCCGCGCCTTTTCTGCTGTCAAGCAAGTTTTATTTTACCTTTGCAGAGGTATGAACCTAAATGTTTTTTTAACATGGTTGACGTCGGATACCGGCTAGCCATTCAGTCAGCTATAACCCAATAGCTTCTTTTACAATTTAAACAGACTTTTCCATGCCACCCAAACTGGGTGGCATGGAAAAGGCGGTAAAATAAATATTTCCGTTGGTTTACGACCGATTGAGCTAAACTTCAAGGAAAATTTTGCCAACCGTTTTTATTATCCGCGCGAATCTTCCTAAGATGCATCTTTAGCGGTCCGCGTAAAAAAGTTTACCTTAAGGAATCAATTTGAATACTACAAATGACCATAAACTTAGAACGGATTTAGATCGGCTTACGTTATTGCTTGTTTCCGAGCGACAAATACACCGAAAGATTTTCTGTAGAGTGTAGATTCGAAGAACTTGCGTTTTTGAGATTTTTGACCTACCGTCAGCCTAACATTTCAACTAGACACTTAACTGCAATATGTTACAAACCGGTTTAGGTCCCGAATTGAAGATGTAATCGCAGTAAATAGTGGTTATATTGAATACACATCGTCAAGAATGACGATTTCGCACTTGCAAAAAGGTTTACGCTGAAATATATGTGTTTGTTTGGATATAGTCATGGACTTTTTTTGGATAAAAAAACAAATCCGCCGTAGAACGCCAAAAACGACGTTAGCACCTGTGCTCAAACTCTACTGTATTACTGGTTACTAAATTTGGTGCAGAGGAATAATTGTTGGTACGTTCCCGAGCTATAAATTATGTTTGACAGATTTATGAACAACAAATCTGTCAGAGTACTAAGACTAACCAACGGTAAAACGGGAGTAGCGCGAACCCTGTGGTCTGTTATGTATATGCGCTTATGTGTATTAAAGCATACAACTGGACCTAGGTACTGATAGTTTTTGACAAGTAAACGGAAAAATTCTGCATCGAAAATCTCATGTCTGAGAATCCCAGTTAAATTTTTAAAAAACGAAAACCTCGAAAACTTGTGTCAGTGTTTTCAGCGTCTACAAGCGGCGTTGCCGCTCTGGTCATTATCTCATAATTAAGTGGCGATAGCCAGTTGGTCTTCTTTATGGTCTACATGTGCATTTCCCTATTATAACATACAAATGTTTCACCTCAAGGTTAGAAGTTCACAATTTGACATCAAACTTCTTGATAACAGGTGAATTGATATTCCTGGCTTCTGTGATTCATCAGCGAACAATAGAATGCTGACAAAAAGTGCATACCAGAATTTCTACTTTTTACTGCTCCACTAATTAATATGTTCAATGCTAAACGAATATACACAGATCTACAATCTCATTGTACTCGAAATAGACTACAACTGTCCTTCGTTCAAATGCGGTCCTAACAGCATATAGCTCGAAATGTCTACTATCGCGCATCAGCCCGTTCAAGATAACAGAAATTAAAAATGTTTCCACCACGTGGCAAACGTCAATGGTTACCGAACATGATCTGGTTATCGGATGCAATCAGAGATAGCTATACTATACACCACAATTCAAGTCAAGAAACTTTAATGCCTTAATTTAGCATCTTCCCAACATGGCTGAGCAACTACAATTATTCAAACATCCATTATCATCTGATGGTGTGATAGTTCGTCGGTCGTTTTGCTTCATTTGTCGATTGCCTAGTGGGAGTATATGACCCACCAATAGTTCCTCCTCCGCTGAGAGAAAAACACGCACCGCAGTTGAAACGTGACTACAGCGGGATACCGCCGTTACTTTATTACGCCTGTGGTTGGCTTGCCATTGTGTGGTGTCATCTACTGAACACTGCTATTGCTGCTGAGAGCAGCTCTACCCTTGACGACGACAACAGCAGCAGCAGCACGACCACCAGCATAGCGTACTATGCGCAAGCGCGCGTGGTAGGGTTGACCCTCAAACCCTGAACATCTTACGGTGACTGTGTTCTGTCCGACCTGCGCGAACGTTTCCAGGCGCGACAGTACCGCTGTCAAGAGCGGAGATGGACTGCTGCCTTTACTGACGGCCATGTTAGAAAATAAGCAAGAAATCAGTTAGCAACCACTAGTCGCCGGCAGTTGCAGTCTCATAAGCTAACTGCGTATGGCGTAGCGTCGAAACGAGGACAGTAGGAACGACAAATTCCTTCAGCTGGCCGACGTCGGCGGTTCGTTGGTTCACATATCACCCGCAGCAACCGACGCTAACAAACCGCAGAGCGTAGTAGAGCGTATGGCCAGCGGAGCACCATTCAACGGCCTTTATCATTAATTTCATGATGCCACATACTACCGAATACGAGGGCGATACACGCATTCACGCATAACTGTCATATTTATAAATAGTTAGATGTACAGAAATTGCAAACCGCATACACATCGGCAAACGTTTGTCGATGTGTATGACCACAACTTAGCCGCTAATACGGGCGCGGCCCATTTCTAGTGGGACAGTATCTGGAGTACCCTGCCCGTCTGCCGCTTTCTTTTCATCTGATCTATCACACAGTATCGTACTACAAATCTTACGTGTTGTGATAACAGTGATTTGTGACACGAACAGACAGGTGGCGGACACACAAGCGGCAAAAGTCGTTTATTTCGACAATCGTTAGAGGAGCTCGCAACGAAAGCAGCAACCACAGCACTGGTCGCACTTGTGGCAGCAATTTAAGCCGCAACGTTTTCACAATGTAGTTGTGGAAACTAGCCTTCTACTGCTATGTACTATATATATAATATATATATCTACTGGCGATGTGATGATGCCGCGGTTGTTGTTCTCGGGCCAAGGCAACTGTCGGTCACTTCTGTGACACTCTTACTGCCTCTAGAACATGGCCAAATGATGTCACCAATAGCTGCCTATTTCTGCTGTGGTATTATGGAATATAATCAATCGTAGATTAAGGTATTTGGTTACCTCACCCCGTAGCTGCTCTTTCGACTGAAGGTTAGAGATGCGCAGGCTCTTACATTGATACAGAGAGGGGTAGAGAGATTAAGATGCGCTGGAGATGCTGCTATTACCGCGGTTGCTGTGTTGTGTTGCTATGTTGTTGCGGTGCAACTGTACGGCAATGCTGAGTACGTGTAGCTAACGATTTCCTCCTATATATA